ACCTAGCTTTTATCAGCATGAAAAATAAGATCCGGATATTCAACTCCAATGTGAAGTCAGTGCTACCTACTATACGGATCAGAAACTTAGCGCCAAATCACGAGGTGCACTTTGTACAAACTACACACCTCGCATCAACAGCTGTCTTCGCTCAATACTACTCAAGACCAGATGGCCGGCCAGAAAAGATCAGTAACAGGGATCTTTTGGAACGAACCTAACCAGCAGGATTCAGTTGTGCAACAAACATGCAGGAAGAAATGGAGGTAGATTGGAGGCCATACTCTGAGAAAACCATCAAATGAGTGACACCACACGCCAGGCCATTGCTTGAGTGGAACCCGAATGAGAAGCGGCGAGTTAGTTGGTGCTCAATGCGAGGGTGACATGACGGAAGTCATATGAAGAGGAGATGAAAGCATGTGGGCAGATGTGGAGCCAGGTGAAAACATTGACAGAGAACCGAAAGTTATGGAGAAGGTCGGCTGAAGCTCTGTGTTCCTATAGGAACTAAAGGAAACAATAATAATAATGCCCAGCTTTTATTTATATACTTTGACGCTAGTTTCTGGTATAAACTGATTCTTAACAAATTCGAATGAACTTATACCACCTTCCCGACATATTCTGTATTATAATACTGATAAAGTGTTGTGCTAACGTATTCAATTTAAGCTTCTAAAAGCTGCATATGGGGGTTACTTCTTTAGATTTCTTCCAGGAAATCCTGAGCGATAACGCAATCGATTAACTGAACCACACATTGAGATATGCTCATAATCCAAAACAAAGGATTTGTCTAGAGTATGGTACTATGTTATGCATAAAATAATGAAAGATAATATACAAACCTCGACTGGTGGGGTACTGGTGGTTAAATACCGTCAAATACACAGTCACTGTGCTTTGATAAGAAAGACGCATTAAACAGAGCGCGAATGCAAGATAGTGAATATACTACTTCCCACTGGTAAGTAGTATAATTTTAAACAGGAAAGAAAGGATAACAAAGGACACGTAATTCACAAACGGTTTGTACACACATAATGGTGTATTTCAAAGTTACTACCGAGTTAATTATCATTCCATTACGAACAACCTAACCCTTCGCCACACTATTCATACTTTGTTGACAGCTCTATCACATGTTACAACTTTTGTTGGTCGATACTCCTGTGGATTGGTGGTCATAATCATAATGAAATTGCTGCGTGTAGTGAAGTAGGTAGGTAGGCAGGAGAAATATTCGTGATTACATTGGGCTCACAATTTTCAGTTAGTCGACTGAAGAGCAATGATAGCAGATTCAGGGCTGTTTGACTGCCTCAGCCTAACTGTACTGTTAGATTTAAATAATATGAAGTAGTTTGTTCATCTGAGTTTATTGTAACCGGTTATTATGCTGTGATAACGCTCAATAATTTACTTGATTTGTATGGGTATTTTTTATGCATATCTTTCGCATTTTTGGTGGATTTGTCTACTGTGCTTATGTCTTTTTGAGTGGTGTTTTCACTTTTTTGATAAACCTAACTTGTATGGTTATTTATTTCAAAGATTTCTGACAGTGTCTTCAATTTAATCTGTATTCGATTAGTTTATTTCATACGATACACATTGATAAGCCTATGTTGATTGGATGATGGGTGAATTTATGTGTTGTGTCCATCCTCCTGTGACGATGGAATTCAGGAGATTATCATACCTTTGGGATCCTCAAAGTGAAGGCCTTGATACTCCAAACCCCACAGGGTGCCGATGATTTGCAAAATAGGCTGATGAAACAGCTGTCCAGTACTCCCTGGCTGGTTTTCAATGGTTCTCTAACTGGTAACAGTCCGTGATCAACTCGTAGAAGCAGATCTAATCCTTACAAACCATACTTTTGAAAATTAATCTGATGCTCGCTATTGACTTGCTACAGGACGGAGTTTTCTGAACTTCCAGTAAGAAGTCGTGAACAGTGAGGTCCATCCAAATGTCACGTGTGAGGATGGATTTCCCATCGATGACACTGGTCGGTGCCAGTCGCGCTAAATCACGAATTCGTAGAAGTTAGAGGAGGAGTTGTGTCCTAATGGCTGAATGGTGTACGAGTTCGCCTTGTAACCGGAAGGTCTTGGGTTCAAATCGCGTCAATGGATGCGTATTGCCGATGATTCCCAGACTAGGATGAGACAACATACCAGTAGTCTCTGGTTTTTAATGGTTCTCTAACTCGTATCAATCCGTGATCAACTCGTAAAAACAAATCTAATCCTTACACGCCAACTATTAAAAATATGTGAGAACAAAAAGTTCAGAGAAGAGTCTCTTTTCGACGATGAATTCATTCAGTTAGCTGTACCATCACATTTATATATAATTATTTTGTTTGTGTATATGTGTACATTAGGGCTGTCGAAACAATAAAAACTAGTTAGGGTTATTATTTACGTCATCAAAATGTGACAAATAATCAAATTGTAACTAAGGGGGGGGGTTGAGGATTCGTAAGTATTTTGATGTGGTTGTGTTCTCTCAGCTGGATAGTTAATTTGTGAAGCTTTCATCACCCAACTAGGTGACATCTTCAGCGCATACTTCAATTTGAAGTGAGCTTTCATATTTCTCAATGAGTGTATAAGTCATCTCTCCCGTTGACCTTGGACGTAATTGGTTGTTTTTGTTTGTTTTCACACCTTCTAGGCTACTTGTATTGGAATTGATTGTTTTTTACTTGAACTTTAACCCTTTGTGTGTGAGGTTTCTTTCTTATCGGTTGATAAATTTTGTTCACCAGTTCACCTGGTCGTGTGGAGAAAAGTATATCTGCCTTACCCAGCGTTCGCTTTCCAAACGTATCACCGAACACTTACCAGCATGGTTTTTCAAAGGAGAAAAGCGATCCCCCCGCAGCTCTACCTTGGAACATCTGAGAGATTCCGGACACCAAGCTACACCCAAAACAAACTTAAAAGTCGTCTACAGCATGCGAAACGGTCCTCCTAAAAGTGTACGAATCAGAATTCTTCAAACTGAAGAAGCAATAATAATTCACATGCTAAGTCCTGAACTCTGCATACAGAAGAGGTTTGTTCAATCACTACACTTACAATGGACGTAATCTATATTAATACGCGACAGGTCAATTCTATTTCTTTCTTTCTGTCTCTTCGTTAGTATTATTTTGTCTTTCCAATTGTAATATTTTACATTTTCAACTCTCCTGTTCTCTACCCCCATCCGATTTAATTTCTACACCTCATTACCATTGTTACTGACTTGACCAACTCTCAATTTCTAGTCATTTATATTCCGTCATCCAATTTATTTGGTCAATTTCAGTTCTAATTTAAATGGCATTATTCTCTACCCCACCTCTACTTAGTCTTTACCTCTACCTGTAATTACCTCTGTTGGTGTCCTGACCTAGGTTGAAATATTTTGGTCAATCATATTACGTCATCTAACTTACTAATTCAATCTTAATTTAGTTGCTGTCTAATTAACTTTGTTTCTATATAAAATCATTCTTGTATTACCTGATTAATTATCTAAACTTGACAAACCTCAAGTACACACACATACACAAAAATAGTTATATATAAGTGTGATTGTACAGCTCTGTAAATGAATTCGCCGTCGAAAATAGTCTCTTCGCTGAACGTCTTCTCTTTTTCATAAATATTGTTTTGACTAGAAATCATTTCAGTTTACGCAATTGAATATTGCGTTATATTAGTAGTAGCTATGATGGGGACCTTTTGAAATCAGATTCTCTGTTTTCATCGATAGAACTACAAGAAGGTTGCGTAATTTTCAAAATGTCTTAAACTCTTTGAGCCGTCTGCCTAAATAAGTACACCTCGACACAAATGTTTATCAGCCTTATTCAAGAGCTATATGACAATACCACATGTCGAGTGTTCCACAACAGAAAACTCAACGAACTGTGTGACAAGAATACAGGGGGAAAGAAAAGGCTCCCTACCGTCACCGATAATATCCCCAATTGTGGTCGACTGGATTATGCGGCACACTGTGGGGAATTCCAAAAACAGCAAACACAGTGGACCGATAAGAAGACTCCAGAGGATCTTACAGGCGAAAACCAACAAACTGGCAGAAGAAACAGCAAAGACACAACTTCAGCTAAGCAAAGAGAAGAAGGAGGTGATGAAGATAACCAGCCAGCCAACCAACCAACCAATGACAGCAAAAATAAGCATCATTCACTTTCAAAGGGAGAAATCAGAAAGATGTTAGATCCTTCACTTATCTGTGCGGCATCCTTATAAACACAAATGACATGGATTAGAATGTCAAAGCCGGTAAGTTTCGAAAGGGAGAGACAGACCTTCGTCACTATGAAATCGACTTGGAAATCTGCAACATTCCACCTCAAGCATAAACAAGAAAATTCAGATTCTGTTCAACACCAATGTTAATTAAGTCAGTCAGTTCTTGTGTGTGGGTGAAGAACTTGCCAAGCACGTCACGAAAAGCAGTTCCAACAGGCTATACTACAGACCTTTGTCAACAGCTGCCCCCTTTGCTGACCCTATACTGAAGATCAAATGGCTGACCAGAAGTAATTAGCAACAAGAAACTCTGAGGACGAATCGATCAAGAATCTACTACCCAACAAAATGGAGATGAATCGGATACACGCTGAGGAGATCATCGGATGACATCATGTGCCGGGCCGTCGATCGGAATTCTAACGTAGGAGGACGAGTTTGGCTTGGGTCCGGCAGTGACCTAGGGGAGGAGATGAGAGTCTAAGGGCAATCTCGGAGCTGGGTTAACATGGACTGCAAGAAAACAGCATGAAATGAACATGGAACCCATAGAAACAGTATTAATAATCTCAGCAGATCCTGAATTAAACGAGTAAGGGTGTCTGTTTTGTTATTTCTAAAGTAGATCACATTTCAGAACACAAAAATCATAAAATTTCATGACAGTTTTCATCATCACTACTTTTATTTTGCACCTTGTTTTTTTCTCTTTTTTAGAAGAAAATACATCAATCCCTTCCACAGTTGAACAAAAGAAATGGACCGAATAATTTAGTCAGTGTCAACACGCATAAACAATCCCAAATAACCGATTTGAATATGCATTTTCCTAGTCATAATAATAAAGGCTTAAATCGTGTGTTGAATAAACGTCAAATACATATGAATAATCATATACACAGTAACAATATTAATGCTAATGCTAGTAATAATAATAATGACGACAGCGTGAATCATATCAATGAAAGTAATGAGAGCAATGCATTCGATTATTCTGTGAACAGAGATGAAGAAGACTTCTAATACTCAGATTATTTTATGTACTCAACACTCGGTCAGCTGTTTTTTCTTACTGTGGATCTTACTTTGTCTTGGTTCTTCACTCTTTCAAAAATCAATCACAGTAACTAACAGTTCGATTTATCAGTCATTTGTGAGATTGAAAAACTCTGATGCCATTTTTTAAAAACTTTATTTTGTCGTCAAGTTCATAAACTCTCACCTTAAAGATTGTGTTATAAAGTGCCTTAAATAATCTGTTATATTCATATTGTTATTCTGCAAATTATATATATATATATGGAAGAAATTTGAGCAAAGAATACTCTTTTCGATGATTTCCTCTTCCGGCTCTACAATTATATTATTATTATTGTATCCTTTAATTCCTACAGGAACATAGGGCTTCAGCCGTGCGTCTCCATTGCGTTCTGTTCTCTGCTAGAGTCTTCACCTGGCTCCAAGTCTGCCCACACACCTTCATCTCCTCTTCACATGACCTCCTCCAAGTCACCCTTGCACTGACGACCAACTCGCCGCTTCCCTTTCGGGTTCCACTCGAGCAATGGCTTGTCTAGTGACGTCACTTGATGGTTTCCTAAGAGTATGGCCAATCCATCTCCATTTCTTCCTGCCTATTTGTTTCACAATCGGTTCCTGGTTGGTTCGCTCATTGCCAGAGATCTCTGTTGCTGATCTTTTCTGGCCTGCCATCTGATCTTGAGTATTGAGCGAAGACAACTGTTAATGAAGGTCTGTAGTTTGTTGGAGATGCTCTTTATGACGCGCTCGCCAAGTCTGTGATCCGTATAGTAGCACTGACTTCACATTGGAGTTGAAAATCCGGATCTTATTTTTGATGCTGAGTGTTGCTGACCTCCACACAGACTTGAGAGCGGTGAAAGCTTGTCTTGCTTTTCCGGTTCTTGCTTTGATACCCTCGTCAGTTCCACCTGTAGTTCAAACGATGCTTCCCAAGTAGGTTAAAGAGGTTGTTTCTTTCAGGTTCCTTCCATTTATGCTGATTGTTGTCTGTTGTTGTTGCTGTTGGTTTTGCCCAGGAATCTTTATCATCTCTGTTTTCTCTATGTTCACCTGAAGTCCTTTCTATCTTTGATGCTTCTTCTGCCAACTTGTTGCTTTTTGCCTGCATATCTTCGAGTTTGTGGGAAATCAGACATATATCATTGGCGAAGTCAAGATCCTCCAAGTTTTTGTGTTGGTCCATTTTATGCCTGTTTCCTCATTGTCCACTGTTTGTCGCATTATCCAATCTACTGCAATCAAGAAAATCATTGGCGATAGTAGGCAGCCAGCCTTGTCTTACTCCTGTCCTCACTTCGAACGGTTCCGTAAGTTTCCCGTTGTGGATTACTTGGCATGCAGCATTGTCGTATAGCTGTTGGATGAGATGTATTATTGTCGGTGGCACCCCGTAGTGGCGAAGTAGTTTCCAAATCACCTCTCGATCGACGCTGTCGAAGGCCTTTTCAAAATCGATGAAGTTGAGATAGAGAGGTGACTGCCATTCCAAGCTTTGTTCAATGATGATCCGTAGTGTGGCGATCTGATCAATGCATGACTTGTTTCTCCTGAATCCAGCCTGTTCCAGTCGAAGTTTACACATCCAGGGCTTGTCTGATTTCCTCCAAGATGATGCGGATTAGTATTCTGCTTGGGATGGACAGGAGCATAATTCCGCGCCAGTTCTTGCATTGACTTAGGTCTCCTTTCTTTGGTAGTTTGAATAAGTATCCTTTCTTCCAATCCTCGGGTACTCTGCCATTATATACATACGTATATTTGTACACACAGAATATTCTAGAAGAATCGACATTAACAATATTGGTGTGCTTTTTCAATATTACCGATTTGTTAAGATAACAGTGGAATTATCACGGTTGAAGGAAGTTTGCATAAGTTATAAGCAGCAATAAAAATGTAATAGCAAATAGAATATCAAAGAGAATTAAGGAAATCTCTACAATAACAAATTGAGGATCATTGAAATCTTGATGGCCAGTGAGCTAAGGAAAAGGGTCAAAACCAACTACTTCTTTTGAATTCATAATTTAGGTGTCTTAATTAAGGGGGGATTCCAACAGCCAGCCTAAGTAATATGTGTAATAGACGAAGTCTTGAGGTGAAATGAAGCTTACTTAGTCGGTATACGGTAGATGGATGACTTTGAAAGTCGCTTTGTTAACATTAATTTTGTATTCTGTATGTACAAGATGAGACATTATATGGAATTATGAATGGATTTTGTTTCTCCCTTACATATCCACTATGCAGGTTGGTGTTCGGAAGTCTGACGGTAAACACGCTTAATTGTACGGTATATGCATATCTACCTGACTTCACAGAAGCAGTCAAATTGATAGATGCACATAGAAAGAAGAGGCGAAACTAGGTAATTTATTTTTAACTCCCAAAAGCGAAATGGGTGGTTGGTATAGAAAAGACAGCATACATATTTCAGCAGAACTGAATGCTCGTTTAACCGCTGTATTTCTTGGGCGTTGTTTTAATATCTCATTGGTGTGTTACCACCACCGAGGAATTGAAGTTCGAAACTTTGGCCTGCGTTGCTTTTTGATTCATATTCTTATCAATGAATTTTTTCCGGGTAATCTTTATCACTCAGCAACTGTTCAGTAGTATTAAACTCTTCATTAATTTTTTTTTGATTGCAGCTTGATTCCACACCGTATTTTCAGTACATGTGTGGAATTTTCAGTATGGATATCGGTAGCCCGAATTTCACAGGCCGACCATAGATATCGGGTGTGCGTCCGCAGGGGATCGAACCTCAGACCATGTGCATGGTCGGCGAGAGTCCTAACCAATGTGCCACCGACGCACAGGGAAATTTCTTAGGATCTGATAATGAAATCATGAAAATAATCAAAAGATGCTTGACATATGTTATATTAATGTTAAATTAGAGAAAGTATAAAACCTATTGAGCTCCTCAAGACGGTCACAAGTCAATGGAAGTGAAATACCTTCGTTATCTGACTTCCTATTTATGAATGAATTAATTGTAATGCTTTTGTCTGATGAAATGATACCTCGCAGTGATTAGGAGGATACTTTAACAACACTGAACGATGAATTGAAGACCATTTTGGAACATACAACGACCATCATAGTCTTTGTTTGTACAATTTCCACGATTATGAGTAGAAATTTTAAAAAAGCCATCAAATCGGCATTGTTAGCATGGGTGAATCTGATGCAACATCGTTAATTGGACACTCTGAAACACATAATTAAGCTACTACATAGGACAATGTCATTATTTCTTATTTTGTTGACGAGAAACATCTTGGCTTCGTATACACCTCTTGAGTTTAGCTATAGAGCAGTAACGTCTACTTTGTGCCGCTCCAGTGGCTTCAATAATTGCTAATTTCGCCAGCCAAATTATGGATGAGACTTATACTGCAGGGGAAAATAGACAATCTTAGCAACAAATCCCTTCTTTAAAATGCAATGACTCATATTTTTATCTTCCTCAATTATTTTAAATTTCTCAAAATCATATCAGTAGGCCGGCGATTATGTAGACTAACTGCCAGAAGGCGTTCACTGAATAGATTATTAAAATTTGTGATTTCAAGTAAGTATACAACCTTTATTACCACTGAATTAACAGCCAATTATGTTAAGCACAAACTATATTATAATCAACTCCTCCAAAATATTCTGGATGTTTCATCGTTTGGGGTTATTAAACATTTCATCAAATTTCTACGGAACAATTTAATAGGTACTTATTCATTTCCAGGTAGAAAATGTGTGGAAAAGAGAATTATCTAAGACATTCATCAGAGCATATTTATCTTGCTTTGTGGACCAAGCACTCTGTCAGATCGCTTTCGTATTTAAAAGGTACAAAGCTGAGTAGATGAGTATACTGACAGTCAGTTGATGTAGGTTTTCTGTATACACTTATTCTTGTTATTGTACCATCCCCTTTTCTAGTCATAAAGACGTCTAGGAATGAAATACTAAAGTCACTTTCTTTCTCAGTGGTAAAATTTATTTCAGGATGAACATCGTCAAATTAGTCCAGGATGTTGTTTGCTTCATCCTCATTTTTCATAATCCAAAATGTATCATCCATGCAACGACAGTAGAGTTTTAGTTCATCAGTTACACCTTTCAAAGGCCCATTCCTTAGTTTCCCAAAGGAAATGTCGGTTAAAATGGATCCTAGTGGTAATAACCCCATAGCCACACCATCGATTTGTCTCTATAGTTCCTTATTGAACATTCATTGAGCATTTCAAGACCTCCCCTATAAAAGATATAGGAATGCCGATATCGATGCTTCCACTTATAAGTTCTTCACATAAAAAATCTACTGATTCCTTAAGTGGTACACTGGTGAATAAAGAAGATACGTCAAATGATATCATGAATTTATTGTCAGCATTTAAATCTTTGTCATAGGTTCTTTGTTTACTCTTTCAAATATCGATTACAGTAACTCACACAGTTTGATTTATCTGCCATTTGGCAGTTTGAATAAAACACTGAGGCCATTTTTAAAAAAAAGTTTATTTTGTTGAATAACATTTTTTTCGTCAAGTTCCTAAACTCTCACCTTAAAGATTGTGTTGTAAAGTGCCTTTAATAATCTGTTATATTCAAATTGTTATTCTGCAAATAATATATATATATATATGGAAAAAAATTCAGCAAAGATGATCCTTTACGATGATTTCCTCCTCTGGATTTACAATTATACATATTCGTCTATTTATATATATATATATATATATATATAAATTGCAACTCTACCCATCATCATCATCGAGCAAAGTATGGAATGGCAATCGAACCTCTACCTCAACTTTATAGACTTTGAGAAGGCCTTTGACAGCGTTGACCGCGAAGTAATTTGGAAACTACTCGAGTACTACGGCGTACCCCAAATATTCATCAACCTTATTCAACAACTGTACGACAACGGCACATATCAAGTGATCCACAACAGAAAACTCAGTGAGGCG